CGGCAAATGAGAAAAGAGTGTGTTTTAGTCCCCGCCGAGGCCGGGCTAATCTCCATTTCTCAAACATTTCTCAGCTCCTAGTTTGAGCGGCTGAAAATGTCATTATTGCAGCAATGAGCCTGTTGTATAACACGCACACCTGCATACAAACGCAGACACACACAAAACTGTGATGATACTCTCTTATCTGCTTGTGCTAATGTAGTTCTCCCTGTGGCCCAGTGGCGGAACCCGAAGCCTTCGCGCGAGAGACCCGTGTTCGATCCCGGCTCTCGCAGCAGATAAAAATTTAGTCTCGCCGCGGCCAGACTTCCACCGAAACTTTTCGCTCGTTCAGTTCCAGAAAATGCGACTGTTCCAGTGTATTTTGCAGTAAACAAGCTGGTACCACGGCCCGCTTGCCTGCACATAAAGGCCGTTTCCACGGCGACCCAGAAAAATAATGTAATCATTGTATTTCTGGTTTTCCGGCCACAGCCGATGGTGTTATAAGTGTAATAAAATGCTCACAGCCCAGTGTTCATTTCTACACACAAACACAGCCCGCCACGGTACAGGGCTCGCACAAATGAAATCGACGCATGTCAATTGTGCATTAAATGTTGTGAATGTGCCCACAACCCAGTGCCCACAAACACTACCACGGTTTCTGTAAAACGAAACCAACACAAGTCTTCCTAGCCTCCTAGGAAATCGACGGTGTTTCAGTATCGCCGTGGCCAGACTTCCACTGAAATTTTCGCTCGTTCAGTTCCTGAAAATGTGACTGTTCCAGTGTATTTTGCAGTAAGCAAGCCAGTACCATGCCCGCTTGCCTGCACACAAATGCTGTTCCCACGGCGACCCAGATAAATCACATAAACGGTGTATTTTCTGGTATTCCGGCCACAGCCGATGGTGTTATGAGTGTATTGAAAATGCCCACAACCCAGGGCTGATTTCTACACACAAACACAGCCTGCAAAAATGCAGGGCTCGCACAAACAAAATCGCCTCATGTCGATTGTGCACTAAATGTAGTGAATGTGCCTACGTCTCAGTGCCCACAAACACTACACACCACATGTCCCACGGGTTCTGTAAAAACGAAACCAACACGCATTCAGTCAGCTCAGGCCGACGGTGTTTTTCAGTGCAGTAAATGTGCCCGCTGTCCTGCGCCCACATTCACTCACAGACATGTTAAGCCCCACGGGGCTCGCCCCGCTCTCTCTCCCTCAGCAAACTGCTATAAGGGTTTTGAGCGCGGCCAGGCTGCCCGCCGCGATCGGCGCGCCCCCCGCCTCACACACTGTAAACACAGTGTCTGCGTTACAGCACGCCGGAGCTCCCTTCCCGTCACTATGTCTCAGCCAGAGCCCAGATCTCATTCTACCCCTAGCTATTCACGCGAAAGTGTGGGCACAGCTTCCTGGGGTATCAGAATGGGTGCTGAACACTATAAAAAGAGGCTATTCGCTACAGTTCGCTCGACATCCCCGCCGTTATACGGCGCGCGTCGAGACGACGGTGAAAAACGAAGTATCTCATCTACTTCGAGCCGAGAGAGCGAAACTACTGAGCAAAGGTGCTATAGAACCTTTATCTCAAGCTCAGAGCAAAGGGGGCCTACACAGCAGATATTTTCTGGTACCGAAAAAAGATGGAGGTCTCAGACCCATTTTAGATCTGCGACAGCTGAACAGAGCGCTTGTGAACGCCAGTTCAGAATGCTTACGACCAGGAAAATCCTCGCGCAAGTGCGCCACGGGGACTGGTTTACGTCAATAGATCTGAAAGACGCCTATTTCCAAATACAAATAGCGTCCCATCACAGACGATTCTTGAGATTCGCTTTCGAGGGCCAGGCATATCAATACACAGTCCTGCCGTTCGGCCTGTCCCTAGCACCTCGTACATTCACAAAGTGCATGGACGCGGCGCTCGCACCCCTGAGACTTCAGGGCATGCGAGTCCTGAACTACTTGGACGATTGGCTGATTCTAGCTCGATCACGATCGGAGCTCATAGAACACAGGGCCGCATTACTCGAGTACCTCGAGGAGCTGGGCCTCACAGTCAATTGGGCGAGGAGCTCACTGTCTCCCAGTCAGAAAATGTCCTTTCTGGGAACAGTGTTAGACTCGCTATCCATGACGGCGCGCCTGTCACCAGAGCGCGGACTAAATATTCAGCGTGTCGCGAAATCCTTCCGCCACGGCTCGATAGTTCCGCTTAAAAGGTTTCAGAAAATGCTGGGGCTGATGGCCTCAGCAGCCTCTGTACTCCAGTTGGGCTTGCTTCGCGTGCCCCCACTGCAGATGTGGCTGAAAGCGCGGGTTCCACCCAGGGCATGGACAGCGGGTCTGTTTCGCCTCAGGGTCGACCTACAGTTTGTTTCAGCTCTGGAAAATAACCGACTGGTATCAGTCAGGTGTGAGTCTGGGGACCGCTTCGAGTGTGGAGGTGGTGTCTACGGACGCCTCCACCTCGGGGTGGGGAGCGCTGCTCGAGGGCAGACCGCTAGCTGGCCTGTGGTCAGAACGGGAAAAGCTCCTTCACATAAACTGCTTGGAGATGATAGCAGTCGACAAAGCACTACGGCGTTTTAGTCCCCAGGTAACAGGCCACCACGTCTTGGTCCGGTCGGACAACATGTCAGTGGTGGCATACATAAATTGCCAGGGCGGCGTCAGGTCACGAAACCTTCACAGGCTGACGGAACGCCTCCTGGTCTGGGCTCAGCACAACCTGCTCTCACTGAGAGCAGCGCACGTGCCTGGTCACCTGAATGTGGGACCAGACAGACTGTCCAGGAACAATGTTCCAGCAGGGGAGTGGTCGCTAGACACGCAGACGGTCCAGCTGCTGTGGAAAACGTTCGGCAGAGCACAGGTGGACCTATTCGCGTCCCACGAAAACGCTCATTGCCCGAAGTTTTTCTCGAAAAGCAAGGACGCGCTGGCTCATGTTTGGCCCCGCTGCCCCCTATATGCTTTTCCTCCTGTCTCGCTCCTGCCTCAGGTGTTGGAATGAATCAGGGAAAATGGATGCCCAGTGCTGCTCGTAGCTCCGCTCTGGACAAACCAGACGTGGTTCCCTGCCCTGATGCAGCTGACCAGCACTGCCCCATGGCCTGTACCATTGAGGAGAGACCTCCTCTCTCAGGCGGAGGGCTCGATTTGGCACCCTCGCCCGGAGCTGTGGTCCTTGCACGCATGGGCCATCAACGGGTACCCTCTAGCCTCCCAGAAGGAGTGTTAAACACGATCGCGCAGGCTAGAGCTCCGTCTACCCTCGAAATGGTCTGATTTCTCTGCATGGTGTCAAGCCCAGAGCTTTTCACCTGTGGAATGCGGGGTTTCGGAAGTGCTTTCCTTCCTTCAAGAGCTACTGGATAAGGGCAGGACCCCATCCACGCTCAAAGTATATGTGGCGGCCATAGCAACGTTTGCAAAACCGGTGTCCGGCCAGTCGCTGGGGAAGAACGACTTAGTCGTGCGTTTCCTTAGGGGAGCTCGGAGGCTAAACCCTCCCAGGCCCCCTTCAGTCCCGACGCGGGACCTTTCCACGGTCCTGGAGGCCATGAAAGGCGCCCCGTTCGAGCCAATCCAGCTGGTGGACATGAAACACCTGTCGTTCAAAACAGTGTTTCTCATGGCTCTCGCTTTAGTGAAGCGCATAGGGGACTTGCAGGCGCTTTCAGTAAGCGCGTCATGTATGGAGTTTGGGCCTAATGACTCGAAGGTCATTCTCAAACCTAAGCACGGGTATGTGCCGAAATCCCTCAATACACCGTTTAGGGCCCAGGTAATTTCCCTGTCCGCCCTTCCGATTCTCAATGAGGACGAGAGTCTCCTTTGCCCCGTCAGGGCATTAAGAGCTTATGTGTCGCGCACGTCTGTTTTCAGACAGACTGAGCAGCTTTTCGTTTTGTTTGGCGGGCGCTCCAAGGGACTTGCCGCCTCAAAACAGAGCCTATCCAGATGGATAGTGGATGCCATTGCGCTCGCTTACACTGCAAAGGGCCTGCAGTGCCCCTTGGGTGTCAGAGCGCACTCCACGAGAGGCGTGGCCTCTTCGTGGGCATGGTCTAGCGGGGTTTCCTTGCAAGATATCTGTACGGCCGCGGGCTGGGCCTCGCCGTCTACATTTATAAAATACTATAACCTGGAGGTACCCGCCTTACAAGCTAAGCTTTTGGCGGTCTAAAATTCAGTGCTATCTGCCCCGCTGAGCGGCCCAGATACTGAGTTTACTGCAGCCCCATGAGTGTTGACACACGTACGGCCACCCAGATCAGGCTGAAAGCTTTCACCCTGGCTGCGCGTTTTATTGTCATATGATAGCCCCGCTGGGTGCTATTTTATAAGGAATGACGCTTCCAGCCTCTCTTCCTCCACTCTATGTGAGTTTATGGTGATTATGCACTATATGAGCCCTGGGCTTCGGCCCCTGGGACTTTGGTGTTGGATCCCTGTACGCACGGCGTGTTGCATTGTGTTCCCCTAGCGTAAGCTATTACGCAGTACGAGAGATACTCTCGTAAGAGAACGTACTCGGTTACTAACGTAACCTCGGTTCTCTCTAGAGAGGGAACGAGTACTGCGCATCTTGCCGTGCTTGGAATACGCTCTGGTTCGCTTCGGCGATGAAAACCAGCTTGTATCAGCCTAACGAGCATTTTATAGAGTGAGACCATGCCCTTTCTGGCGGGACGTGACGATATGGGCGCGAGTTGCCCCCATTGGTCATTACGTCACGCAGAGTCTCTCTCGATAGGCTGCTGCATTTGCCGCAAGAGCAGCCAATAGGCGCGCGAGCTGTATCGCCTGTGTCTGCTTGCTGCTGCAAAGCGTTTTACATTAAAAAAAATTAAGGATAATTTTTGGCTTCAATATCTCGTGGAAAAGAGGTTTTCCCCCTAGCATAAGCTATTACGCACTCGTTCCCTCTCTAGAGAGAACCGAGGTTACGTTAGTAACCGAGTACGTTTTATTTTCAAAATAAACATAACTCACAAGTTGTTTTGGCTGTCAAAGTTTCACCAGTAGAAGTCGCTGTTGAAGCTGCAAAGAGAATTCAAATTATGCATTTAGTTTGGAAATAAAACTCTAGTTGAAGTAGTACTGGTATTATAGTATGACATAAAATATAACATATTAGAAATGCTCTATGAGAATCCTCTACATGTGTATTGCTCACTTGTTGTTGTGGGAGTTTGATCCGTAGTTTGACCAGTAGAGACTATCACACATTGGACAAATAAAAGTAGATGTAAAGTAATTCATTTGTTTTTAAGAAAAGTGATTACATTTTACTGTTGTATATAAATCAGTTATTTCAAAATATGCATTTAAAAAACTTACTCTGGATTGATATTGTCACTGGATCGGAGTGAGGAGATGGTACGAGAACTTGTGACTTCTTCACAGTGTAGAAGCAGGTTATTCTCACAGATGAACTCTGACCTTCTGACCAAATATTGATCTGAGATCCAGTGAGTGAGAGCTGACATGATGAGCTCAGTTTTGAGAAACTTTCTCTTCCATGTATGTTAAAGACACACATCTCCATCTTTAGATCTTCAGTATTCTCACAGCTCAGCTGAACTGTGTCTGTGTCCTCAATAACTGAAGCAGATGCTGTTAACTTGGCCTGAGGAAGACCTAATGAATAAAAAAGAAAAAGACTGAGAAATGACCAAAAAGCAATGGGACATTTTGAATGCTTGGTTTCTGTTTTTAAAAATGGCTGGCAGAGAAACCTCATTGTGTCACAGTGTCTGGTTGTGTTTCCCTGGGTTGTCACTAGAGGTCCTCGTTCTCACGGTGTCTTTCACATTTGACTTCAATTCCCAGCATTCTGTCTGTCACTCATCAGTTAATTGCACTCAGCTGTTTCCCATCACCTTGTTAGAACTGTGTGTATATATACCCTGGCTGTTTCTGTGTTAGTTGTCGAGTCCTTGTTAGATGTCCTCACACTTCCTGGTTGGTTTATTGCCTGTTCCTGTATTTTGTTAATCTTGTTGGATTGCTTACATGGTATTTGACCCTTGCCTGGACTGGATTACGTTTTATGGATTACCCCAAATAAATATATCTAACTGCATTTGGATCTGCTGTCTCTCTCTCGTGTGTGTCGTGACAGAAGGACTCGACCACTACTAGATACAGCAGTACGGGTACGATCCGGTCGGTATGTGGATCGTGCTATTTAGAGCGTTTAGCTCGGATCCTGGAGACGCCCTTCAGACTTTTAGTGTCTGCTGTTCCAGAGCCGGAGCCAGTGTCTGCTGTTCCAGAGCCGGAGCCAGTGTCTGCTGTTCCAGAGCCGGAGCCAGTGTCTGCTGTTCCAGAGCCGGAGCCAGTGTCTGCTGTTCCAGAGCCGGAGCCAGTGTCGTCTGTTCCAGAGCCGGAGCCAGTGTCGTCTGTTCCAGAGCCGGAGCCAGTTTCTGCTGTTCCAGAGCCGGAGCCAGTGTCGTCTGTTCCAGAGCCGGAGCCAGTTTCTGCTGTTCCAGAGCCGGAGCCAGATTCTGCTGTTCCAGAGCCGGAGCCAGATTCTGCTGTTCCAGAGCCGGAGCCAGTGTCGTCTGTTCCAGAGCCGGAGCCAGTGTCGTCTGTTCCAGAGCCGGAGCCAGTGTCGTCTGTTCCAGAGCCGGAGCCAGTGTCGTCTGTTCCAGTGTCCACAGACAAAATGGCCGCCGGGCCGGTGTCTGTTCCTTAGCCGGTGTCTGCTGTTCCTGAGCGGGTGTCTGCTGTTCCTGAGCGGGTGTCTGCTGTTCCTGAGCGGGTGTCTGCTGTTCCTGAGCGGGTGTCTGCTGTTCCTGAGCGGGTGTCTGCTGTTCCTGAGCGGGTGTCTGCTGTTCCTGAGCGGGTGTCTGCTGTTCCTGAGCGGGTGTCTGCTGTTCCTGAGCGGGTGTCTGCTGTTCCTGAGCGGGTGTCTGCTGTTCCTGAGCGGGTGTCTGCTGTTCCTGAGCGGGTGTCTGCTGTTCCTGAGCGGGTGTCTGCTGTTCCTGAGCGGGTGTCTGCTGTTCCTGAGCGGGTGTCTGCTGTTCCTGAGCGGGTGTCTGCTGTTCCTGAGCGGGTGTCTGTTCCTGTTCCTGAGCGGGTGTCTGTTCCTGTTCCTGAGCCGGTGTCTGTTGTTGTTTCTGAGCCGGTGTCTGTTCCTAAGCCTCTGCCCTGGCCACCCTAGGTGACGTCGCCGCCCTGGCCGCCTGCACGACCTGCTTCCCCCTGCCTGCCCAAAGGGTCTTCACCGCCCTGGCCGCCCGAAGGGTCTTCACCGCCCTGGCCGCCCGAAGGGTCTTCACCGTCCTGGCCGCCCGAAGGGTCTTCACCGCCCTGGCCACCCGAAGGGTCATCACCGCCCTGGCTGCTTGCACGACCTGCGTTCCCCTGGTCGCCCGAAGGGTCTTCACCGCCCTCTGGCTGCCCGAAGGGTCTTCACCGCCCTGGCCGCCCGAAGGGTCTTCACCGCCCTGGCCGCCCGAAGGGTCTTCACCGCCCTGGCCGCCCGAAGGGTCTTCACCGCCCTGGCTGCTTGCACGACCTGCATTCCCCTGGTTGCCAGAAGGGTCTTCACCGCCCTGGCCGCCCGATAGACTGTCTTCTCCGCCCTGGCCACCCGATGGACTGTCTTCTCCGCCCTGGCCAGCCGATGGACTCTCGGTTTTGCCCTGGCTGTCGGTTAAGCCGTCACCCCTTGTTCCTGTTTCCCTTCATGGACCTGGCCCACCATCCCTACCCCTGATCCTCCACCGTTCCACCTCCCTCCTGAACTCTTGTGTTGTAGTTACGTTATGGAGCGTCTGGTAGCCGCTCCGTAGAGAGGGGGTACTGTCACAGTGTCTGGTTGTGTTTCCCTGGGTTGTCACTAGAGGTCCTCGTTCTCACGGTGTCTTTCACATTTGACTTCAATTCCCAGCATTCTGTCTGTCACTCATCAGTTCATTGCACTCAGCTGTTTCCCATCACCTTGTTAGATCTGTGTGTATATATACCCTGGCTGTTTCTGTGTTAGTTGTCGAGTCCTTGTTAGATGTCCTCACACTTCCTGGTTGGTTTCTTGCCTGTTCCTGTATTTTGTTAATCTTGTTGGATTGCTTACATGGTATTTGACCCTTGCCTGGACTGGATTACGCTTTACGGATTACCTCAAATAAATATATCTAACTGCATTTGGATCTGCTGTCTCTCTCTCGTGTGTGTGTCGTGACACATTGATCCAAACAGTCTCATTGGTATTTTCAGGATTCACAAATGTTTGACTAGTGAATTTCCATGACTTGTCCATGTTCTTCCCAGTCATTCATGATTGTTAGATTATTGGATAATTACATAAATATTTGGACAGATTTATAAATGACTTTCACATTTGACTTTGAAAGTAAGTTCCACTATACACAAGCTCTTGAATTTCCAGTTGATTAAAAAAAAAATTGAATCTATATTCGATACATATTACATACATTTTTACTCGTCTGCATGGCTTTTTGCAGGCCTGAATTTTGTGATTTAAAAATGTATTTATAAATGTATATTAAATAAAAAAATGTATTTACAGTTTTATCATTGTCTAATGTTAACCACATTTGGACATGTTTTACATCTACATTTTACAAATACAGTGACAAAATTAAATAGTTTTGTTTACTAATTTATTTACTATTATAATATAAATATAGCTTGTAATGTATGAAGTCCTCACCTCTGATGGTGTGTGTGTCACTGCGTGGTGATCTGATCTCAGGTTCAGTGTTGATGTAATAATCACAGCTCAGATTTCTGCTGTTCACTGATCGTGTGAAGAGTTCATTATGAGTTAAATAAAACATACAATGATTCTCTCCAGACAGACTCTTCTGAATCTGAGAGACTTGTGTGTGCAGAAGAACATCCTCAGTGTAGAGACTACAGGTGAAATCAGCTCTGACTGAAAGTGGTATTTCACAGTTGACCAGGACTCCACTGTCACTAACACTGATGAAGGGTTTCTGAAGTGAACCTGTTTAAGTCAATTAATCCATAATTAATAAAAAGAAAATATTGCAATAGCAGTTTCCAGACTAGAACAGCAGTGAAATCTCTCACCTAGAACCGTCACTGTAGCAGCAGGAGAATGAGGTGATGTTTTCTCAGTCCCGTTCTCAGTTATTATGTAGAAGCAGTAAATGTCGACTGATGCAGGTGATTTTACATCTGCCCATCTGAGCACTTCAACACCAGTGAGCTCGAGTTTACATGATGGACTGACTTTATTATTCTCCTGTTCACTGTTTCTGTAGAAATAACACTGTTTCACTGTAACATCTGCTGGCGTCTCACAGATCATCTTCACTGATCTGGACTCTCTTAGCACATCTGGAGATACTTTTACAGCAGGAGATTCTGAAACAACCAAAAACGGACAAGTCAATCATTACATCTCATTGACAATGTTTATTAATATTTACAATGTACAATAATATTCCAAAATTAATCACATATTTTCAGTACAAAAATGTGAAAAAGACAGCTGCTGATTATTGCTGATGTATAATTATCTAGTAAAACAAATATATCAGGTATGTTGCAGTTGCAGTTCACATGTTTGTATGTTCATATTAAAACGTCACACACATCACACGTCCTGACATATTTTATCCAATACATTTTTGTTCACTCTAAATGTGGACTTATTTTAAAAAACATTAAACTGCAGAGATCCCTTACTGTAAGTCTGAACCTCCATAAGAAGCTGAAAAGCAATGAAGATGAACAACTCCATTATAGCGCGAGTGAGAAAAAAGACGAGACTCACACAATAGGTGAATTAGGAAGCAACACATTAGACCACAGGAAACCATATAATGCACTTAGCAGTTTGAAGTAGAGGAAAGTATAGATAAAAATACTACACTTAGAGCCATGTGCAATGTAACATGTATCATAGCATAATCATTTCTCATATAATAGTTTTATGGTACTGTAACACTTTACAATAAGGTTCATTAGTTAACATGAACTAAGAATGAACAATACTTCTCTTAGTTAATATTAATTTCAAAATGTACTAATACATTATAAAAATCAAAGATTGTATTTGTTAACATTATAATGCACTGTGAACTAATATGAACACACAATGAACAGCTGTAACTGACATTAACAAAGATTAACTAATATAGTAACAAATGTAATGCTCATTGTTAGTTCAAATAAAACCATTAAACCTTTCGGCAAATTGACAAGTGACCTGACCTCTGACCTTGGCAGAATCATTTGACGTGACGAAGATCAAAACATCATCTACCTTTGGTTTGCTAACCCCATTCAAAATAAACAGCAAACATATACAGGAAAAATATAATATCCAAAGTTGTTTTAAATAAAATCTGTGACAGTGCACAAAGTATAACAAAATGATCTACAAGTAGAGATGCAAGTTATAATTTACATTTTATAATTAAAAAATACAATGAACTACTTTTTATCAACTTAGGCCTATGTAAATCCTGCATATTAAACAAGATAGTTGAGCTACAGGAACCAGTAGATGCAGACGTGGTCACAGGTACAGTTTTATCTCCAAGCTAATTATGACACACAAACTGATCCTCTCTCTCATTTTGTAGAGTTGCAAAGCCAGATTGCATCTAGTGAATCAGTTTGTTCCGATGGTTCTTGTAAATCAACAGTCTAAAAACATTCACAACCTAATTGTGATGTTAGTTATTATACAGTTAACTGTGCAATTATTAACATTATGTGTTCACACATGGCAGCTTTTGTTCGATTAAAATGTGCGATTGCTCTGTTAGAACAGTTCTGTGCATCCGAACCCTGGTGCGCATCAAACAAGTGGACTGAGACACCTCACAAATGGGTCTCCAAAGAAGAACTTTTAATATCCATGGAACCTTTGCATTGCACAAAAGGTTGTTTATAGTGGAAAATGATTCTTTAGATTATTAAAAGGTTTTCATTGGAAACCCATTTTTTCAGGGTTCTCCGTCCACTTGTTTGGTGCGCACCCACCAGGATTGGATGGCTTTATGTATACTTAATGTTATGGAGGACATGTATTAGAGCAGGGGTTCCCAACCACGTTCCTCGAGCCACCCAAAACTGCACATTGTCTGACACACAGATTTCAGGTTTTTGAGTCTCCGAGCAGATGACCTGAATCAGGTGTGTTTGATCGAGGAGACATGGAAAACATGCAGTGTTGGGGCGCTCCAGGAACGTAGTTGGGAACCCCTGAACTAGAGTATTACATGCTTGTTCAATTTAATCAAGGGTGTACTCAATAAAATAAAAAAGTAAACAAAATCAATTTTGTAACTCTTTATTTTAGAGGGCTACTTTACTTATTTTACAGATATTAATGACTTAGGCCTATTTTCATTGTCAATCTTAGATTTTTTTCATCGTTCCATTTGTCATCATTTAAAAATAGAAATAGAGAAAAATATCTTTATGTTCAGAGGGGGTGTACTCATTCATATGTGTGTGTGTGTACACATTTACAATCTCTTTAAATGACAGTTTATTTAATTATAATGATAAAATAAAAGAGAAATTAAATTAGCAGAGAATGATCTGGCATCTGTGCCAGACTGTATAATATATGAGTGTCTACAGAATCATCCGGGATGGTGCAGTACACATGGTATAATTTTTCCTATAGAGAACAAAGAAAATAAATATATGAAAATGAGAAGTATATATGGTAAAAGTTAGAAGAAACAGGTCTCTATACTCACCTCATGTTCTTCCGAATGTTTCTCATTGTCTTCAATATCATCTTCATCTGCCACATTACAAATACAATACCTTCATTTCAACCATTCTGAAATTTGTAACTTTTAACTTCTGTACTGTATGAAAATTATAAAACATACTTTGCACAAAAGAAATACTTATAATATGCAGCACATCATCATTTGTATATAGGATCATTTGTATTTACCTGGGCTCTGGGAAACAGCTGCTACCGTATTCATAGGACTAAACATAATAAAAGTACACATTTATTTTAATGTTCTAAACAAATAAGCACCTATATAAAGTACACTAGATATTTCTTACCTCTTCTTTCTTGGTTTTTGTCCTGGTAAAATATACCATACCGATGCATTAATGTGTTGTCATAGCAATTTTGTGATTATTAAAACCTGTTTATTAGTGCACTGCACTTACATATTTTCTTATAAATTAGGTATCATTCAAAAGCATAAACAGTCAAAATTCATCCTGTCAACCCCGTTTTGATGTTGGACATTGTGTTACCATGGAAATGATAAATTAAATCTAAATTAAAGGGTTGTGGCCACTGATCTATATAATGACATCAATATATAGATCAGTGTGTAAAAGCTGGCTTCTCCCCCTGGGCGTTGTAATGTTCCAAATTTACTGCACTATTTTATAATCAAATCCATTTCTAATCTTTACAAAACACATTTTGTGAGAAGAGTGATTGGTGACCGAAATGTATTCATGATTTGCGACAGGAGAATATATATATAAAAAAGTGGCATCCTGTGGCTATTTTTGGTATAGCGCCTAAACGACAGGAACCTCAATTTTTGAGATATCAACTTCAAATTTGGAGCACAACTTTATTAGACATATGGCTTTGATTTTTACTTTTTTTTTTTTTTTGAGCAATTTTAGACCAAATGATAAAAAAAAAAAAACATATTTAAAGGCAGGGTAGGTAAGTTTGAGAAACTAGCAGAAAACTGCTGGATTTTTAAAGTATCCAACAGAGAAACTCCCACCCAATCCCTTCTGGGCTCCTTCCAAAGCCACGCCCCCAAAACACATGAACGCGTGATGCCGACCGCTCAGCTGGAGGACGCGTTTACCAGCGCCGAGTGAAGAGGAGCGCAGTGCATGGAGTGACATCACCTTTTTTTGCCTTGTTTGCCTGCGCTGACTGTATATGCAGGTACAGGTGGTACTGGGAATTTTGATCCTAGCTTCCGGCAGGTACGTGCCTCTCCTCTTTCAAAATGAGCGAGTCAACCGGGCGCGCGCATGTGGGCCGCTCCTGTAGCAGCAGGGGTGGTTGCCATAGTAGCGAGGGAGAGACAGTCGCCCAGCCAATCATTGCATTCGTTCCGAAATAAATGCCCTGAGAGGACTACAGACACTCGATTTTTATACTCTCCTTATCAGAGTACTTACATTTTAGACATGTACTGGTATATAAAGACAGTTTAAATTTGGAGTTTTAGAAACAAACTGCCTACCCTGCCTTTAATATAAAATAAAATAAAAACTGATTAGTACCAGTATACTTGCTTTACAGTGAATCTAAATTTCTTTTGCAATAATCCGCTGAGTGTTTTCTTTAAAAAGAAGTTCAGAAAGAATTCATGAATTACACCAATTTAAGTGCATTTTCACATCAATACTCAAAACGGGGTGACAGGCTAACATGTTTTAAAGCTGTTACAAATAAATGTCAGTTTACTGTTAGTTAACTTACTGATGCAGAAGAGACATAAGCCCATGAGTCCGGTCAGGAAAATCCCCCCGCTGGTGGCCGCCAGTGCCATGATCAGCCATGTTTCTTTGTGTCAAAAGAAAGATCGGTTGATCACCATGTGCAACATTTTCAGTTGCAGTGATTAATCGATTGTTAATACGTACTTGTTTTTGGTATCCTCGGATGGCCATCGGTTTCACCAGGATGTGAAGCTTTGACAGCTAAATGGTGAAAAAAGGAAGATAGACAAAAACAGCATCTGTCAGCGAGATTTTAGTCCTAACCCTTACCCTATTTCTAAACCTTAACCCTACCCATAACGTATCCCTAAAATCAGAGGGAAGAATGGTGAATAACACTGTTGTGGAAGCATTGAACTTAACATAAACTGTAAACTTGTCCCTCAAATCTGATTGGCTGATTGGAATGTTGTTCCAAGGTCTTCAAATGTTGATGCAGAAATTATATTCACCGAAGCATGTATTCATTTAGCCTTATTTTGTGTATAGCCTAATCTTGGAAAAGGGTTCAATGGGGTTATATGGTTCTCTTTAAAATATAATTGTTTTTTTTTGTTTTTTTTTGTGTTTTTTTCAGCGATGCCAGAAGAACCATTTTGGATTCCCCAAAACAACTTGTTTGAAAAACATTTTAAGAAAGTTCTTCCACTATAAAGATAATTTTAAGTTTGAAAAGAGAATTTTAATTTTAAGAGAGTATGGCAAAAGGTCTATATAAGGAAAAAGGTCTTAAATAATTGCATAATACTTTCATGTTTAATGGGTTATTGGGATATTTTTCTACTGATAAAGTGTTGACAAGCTGCTTAATTCCTAAATTTTATTTAAAATAAAAGGTCCCGCTTTAATTTTTAAGGTTTAATAATTTGGTATGATGCACTTTTTGTGTACATAGCCTATGTTTTTACATTGTACTTTATTATTATTATTCTATTTTTAAAAATATCTGCATGTAATTAATGTCTGTAATTACATATATAATTACACTGTAGAGCCTTACCTTACACCCATCCTTAAACCCATACCACAAACCTGTCCCTAACCTTACCTGTATCCCACCTCAATATCAGCAAAAGTGTTTCACAATTCAATATGAAAACAAAAGCACATAGTAGCCTACTTACTTTTTAATGTAAGTACATTAAGGACACCTAATATAAAGTTCGACCAAAGTGTCTATAAAGCGCCTGACAGAACACTTTTAGTTTCTAACCGAATAGTGAATACAAATTCTGAAGAAAATATTATAATTCCATAGCTTTTATATTTATGTTTAAACGCTATAATGGTGTCTTTATAATCAGGTCTGTGGTTGAATCTAGTAGATTCTACACACTGTTCCTCAATTTTTGAGGCAATACAGAAAGAAACGTAGTGTTTCAGATCCTCATGAACACAGAGGTGGTGTAGGGAAAAAAACATCTCATCAGATCAGATCAGAACTCCACCACGTGTGTCCCGAAAGCTAGATTTGACCTTACCGTTTTGTCATAATCCCTTTAAATGCTATCAGTGTTACTGCAAAACATAGATATTTTTCGTACATTTTCATAAAATTATATTTTAAAGGAGCTCACCAGCCGTAGGGTTTATTGTGGTCTCGTACCAAGTAGTGTATTCTGTAGTCAGGGTTTCTGAAATATTAAAAATGTACTATTCAAAGTTAATGGTAAAAAAATTAATTATAATCACAATATCGGTTTATAGACTCAATAGAGTCACATTTAGTCTATACTTGTTGTTGTTTCACTTGTAGAGAATGTTGGTGTTGAATCTGCAGAAAACAATAAGCAAGGTTAATCATCAAAATAGTCAGCACAAAAATGATTATAAATTGATTTCGAATGAACTTACATACGGTTGATGCTTTTGTTGTGCTTGGTGACTGATTTTGCACAGGAAGAAAAACTATAGCGACAAAAACATACATTAAGAAAAATGTAAAATGGTTGAATTAAATGTAAATGTGTAGATTCATATACATTAAAAGACATACCTGTCAAGTTGAATTTGTCACTATATGGTGAATGTGTGGATGATGCAGGTTCTGGAGAATAACTGCAGCTCATCACTTTACTCTTTACTAACTTTAGATTATTAAATAACAAATATTCGGCGAGTGTAGAAATACACTGTGTTCCTCCAGATGGTTTTTGAGATTTTAGAATTTGCCGATTTTCATCTCCAATGTAAATAATACAAACATAACCAGCGTTATGTGATCCTGGTATATGACAGTTAATTCTAAATGCACCATTTTGATAGTCATGGGTTACTGTAATGCCAGGCTTCTCTTCTGAAAAACAACATCAGAGATGAGAACATTAGTGTGGAAGAACCAAAGGATTATGACAATACTAGAAGAGAACAACACTGTTCATAGAGGATGCTAAACAGTTGTGACACATTAATGTACTAAATGAAACATCTTACTCGGATTAAAAACTGTATTATTGTGAGAGTTATCAGCATCTGTCGGTCTGTCATATCTCAGCTGCGTTGTGTTTGAGTCTTTCTGCACTGACGCTGGAGACGCTGTCAGCCAAACCTGATCAGAGAGTCCTGTAGGAGAAACACAGGAAACCTTTAGATAACAGTACATCAAATATAAGTTACAGCTGCTGAACACAAGGGTCCCATCACCTCTTGCAAGAAAGCAAGCTATTTATTGGTCGAAATAAAATAGTAAAATATGTAACAAGATGCCCATTGACAACACTGAACTAAAGTGAGGTCTAACCATAATAGAGAAGTGATTCTCAACCAGGGGCCCACTGGGGGCCTCCGCAAACTTTACACGAGATGACTTGAAATGATTTAATTATATGAAAAAATAAATCTAACGTAATTCAAATACTAAAAATACAAATAAATCAAGATGTATTTATTGAACAACACACCAAGTCAGAATCTTTAATCTTATGGAATCACAAAATTATAGTTAATTATATTTAATATCAATACACTCAGTTTCTGTTATTAAAAAAATTGAAAACATTTTGCAAGGTATTTCTGACAACATGCACCTAATTCATGCATGAAACTAAGAAAACTAATTCTTCAACTTGCAAAGTGAATCATTCACCTAAAAATAAACCTGTGAGTGACTGTGAAGTGTTTATAGCATAGGCCTAGCTCTGTGTGATGATGATGATGATGATGATGATGATGATGATGATGATGATGATGATGATGATGATGATGATTATAAAAACAATCATTTATATTTATATCGTTACTTTTTCTTTTGCTCGCAACATAAACACAGAACAAATAACTAAAAACACCAGAGGAACATGCAGCACACGGTACTTAGACATCAGTATTTATACTTACACAAGTATGCATTTTAAAATGAAATATACTGAAATATAATTGTTTTCCTCTCATCTCACTTTATTCCATCATCAGGACAGCTCTACATATTTTAACAGTAATTGTCGCATTTCTTGCAGTTCTTATTTTAGCTGACAATGTTTATTGTAAATGTAGGTTATGCCTAAATTAAATCAAAAACAATATGCATAGTATACTAAAACAAAGGAGAGCAGAAAAATAATATGAGAAAAAAACTTGATTTCTTTTTTTTAAATGATCACTTACTTTGAGGTTGAATCTCCAGCAAGAGTGTAAAGATGAGGAGGATGAGAAGAACCATGTCAGCGTCACATGAAAGACTGATAAACTGACACACAGACGTCCTATACACACGAGGAAGTAGGAAGTAAGAAAAACGATAAACCAAATGACACGATACGACACAGGCATAAATGAGAACACAAACAAACAAAAAATTCTGATGCTGAGGGGAAAGTCAGAATGTGATGCATTTTAAAGTCTCAATGTATTTTCTCACAACAGTTTGTGTTTATCTGAAGTGATAGGTCTTTCAAAGCCACAGAACAGCATGTGTGGTTGAAGAAAAGCGTAGAGGGTTGAGTATCTACAAAAAGCAGATATCTGCTGCCTGATATATTTCACTTTTAGAACAGCGCTGTTTTAGTCATTGTAGGGCTGAGCGGATATGTGTAGAACTCTTCACCTAGTACTTCAGAAATCCTTTTATATCCTTTTATAATCCTGTATATGCTCCCAATGAGCCAAATAATGAGAAAGAACCAAATCTCTTACCACAGCTATGCAGACGACACACAGATCTACTTATCCCTATCGCCTAACGATTACAGCCCCATTGACTCCCTGTACCAATGCATTGAGGAAGTAAACAATTGGATGTGCCAAAACTTTCTTCAGTTAAACAAAGACAAAACTGAAGTCATTGCGTTTGGCAACAAAGATGAAGTTCTCAAGGTGAATGCATACCTTGACGCTAGGGGTCTAACAACTAAAAATCAAGTGAGGAATCTGGGTGTGTCTCTAGAGTCAGACCTTAGTTTCAGTAGTCATATCAAATCAATAACTAAATCAGCATACTATCATCTGAAAAATATTGCAAGAATTAGATGCTTTGTTTCCAGTCAAGACTTAGAGAAACTTGTGCATGCTTTCATCACCAGCAGGGTGGATTATTGTAATGGACTCCTCACTGGCCTTCCCAAAAAGACCATAAGACAGTTGCAGCTCATACAGAACGCTGCTGCCAGGATTCTGAGCAGAACCAGAAAATATGAACATATCACACCAGTCCTCAGGTCTCTACACTGGCTCCCAGTTACATTTAGGATTGATTTTAAAGTATTATTACTGGTATATAAATCATTTAATGGCCTAGGACCTAAATACATTGCAGATATGCTCACTGAATATAAACCCAACAGATCACTCAGATCATTAGGATCACATCAGCTAGAAATACCAAGGGTTCGCTCTAAGCATGGTGAGTCTGCTTTTAGCTACTATGCCAGCCGCCGCTGGAACCAGCTTCCAGAGGAGATCAGATGTGCTCCTACAGTAGTCACATTCAAATCCAGACTCAAGACACTTCTGTTTAGCTATGCATTTACTGAATGAGCACTGTGCCACTGTGTCCGACTGTTTGTACTGTATTTTATTTTATTTTTTATTCTAAACTGCTTTAATTATTCTTATTTCTTTTGATTATTTTAATCTCTTTATTCTTAACTGTTTTAATTATTCCTATTTCTTTTGATTTTTTTTTTTATGTAAAGCACTTTGAATTGCCATTGTGTATGAAATGTGCTATATAAATAAACTTGCCTTGCCTTGCCTTTTAAAGGCATATGTGAATTAAATGTGGCACAATGGCCTTCATCATCACAGTATGCTAATGCATATCTAGAGCAAGGGGATTTCATCAGTATGCTGATTGAGGACTGTTTGTACACTTAATAAACTTAATAAATAACTTTGCATGTTTTAAAGACTTTGAGAATCTTTCCATTTACCACTGATGAAGTTGAACGCTTAATTATATATTTTGTTGTCTAAACATTCAGGATAAATTCTACGTTTTCCTATCAGTTCTAGAAAGACTTTACCTTTAAGGAATAAGAGGTTAAAAAAAAAACTTCAGATTAATTATATTGGAGTCATGAAAATATTTGAATTAGACGCCATCCTTCAACTGCCTTTTGTTCCGATTATTGTCTCACAGTCCTGTATGTCGGCAGTAAGATGTTAATTGTATAGCTGCTTTTTTTATTTAAACAAAATAAACTGGAAAAAAATGAAGGTATCATGAAAACATAAGGGGACTCGTTTTATACCTTGTGGTTGAGAGGTGAATTGTATGGGCCTTTAATCATCAACCTTACCATTTGCAGGACCTGTTAGGCAGTTGTTGTGGCCTAATGATATTCCCTGTTGTGGCCTAATGATATTCCCAGTTGTGGCCTAATGGTTAGAGAGTGGGACTTGTAACCCAAAGGTCGTGGGTTTGAGTCTATCCTCCACTACCCACAACTGAGGTGCCGTTGACCAAGGCACCTAACCCCCAATCGCTCCCTGTGTGTGTGCACTTGGATGGGTGAAATGCAGAGCATATATTCAGAGTATGGGTCACCTATACGCTGATTTCACGCAGCCGCCATTTTGAAATCGAAAGCGAGGTTTCCGGTGGGAAGAACCCCGGAAGTACAGATAAACAACAATGCCTTGGACTACCAACCTGAAGCTGCTGGCGCGATTTACACTATTGGATGTTAATATCCAATATGTATATAGTTCGTTCCTGCTTCTTTTTTTTACGTTCTGAATTATATATAAAAAATAATTGTATTTATAAATGAATTTCACTGTATATAGTCTAAAGTATGAAAGAAATGTATGTACATTTTTAGAATAACTAATTTCTACATTAAACACAACAATACGCCATCGCATCCACAACTATGATTAAAGGCGACACTTCCGGTTTTCTTCCCACCGGAGCCATTTCAAAATGGCGGCTGCGTGAAATCAGCGTATAGGCTTCTTGGCTACATGTCACTTTCACGTTAAACGATGGCTGTGATGGGTAATTAATTAGACTTGACAAACTCCAAATGAAAGTGTAGATCATAAGACCACACTTACATCCATTTGCACTGTGACATAGGGCAGATCGGGGCACATGTCTCCCATTTGGACTTTTATGTTTAGTTTGCCCTGTTCTGTTCCTTTTTCCTGTTTCAAGTTTTGTAGTCCTTTTGTGGTTCCCCTCATTTCTCCCTGATCCTTCCTTGTTACAATAACCGTTTTTGTACCCAGAGGTTCAAAATGGCATTCTGGCATACTCATACTAAGTTCTGCCTTATAAAGATACAGTATGTAAAGAGTAAGATTTGTTTTTTTTTTTAATTTAGCATAAATAACTGTACTAATAATAGATGTGTAATGAGAAACAAACACACCTGAACAAGCATTGTCAGTCTGTCATATCATATCATATCATACAGAAAACCTTTAGATAACAGTACATCAAATATAAGTTACAGCTGCTGAACACAAGGGTCCCATCACCTGCAAGAAATCAAGCTATTTATTGGTCAAAGTAAAATACTATGTTATAAAAGCTCATATTTTAGAACAAGATGCCCATTCACAGCAAAAGTGAACAAAAGCAACTTGCTCTGACCATAACAGAGAAGTGGTTCTCCACCAGGGGCCCTCCGGGGCCTCAGCAAACTTCCAAGGAAGCCACAGGATGAAAACCACTGTAATGATGAGATGTAGTGATGAGAACAAATGGAGACTTAAAGTTCAGGGGAAACCCAGAATCGTTGTCGGGATAATTCCGGTTCACGTGGCTACGCGGAAGCGATAAAAAATTCTGTATTATAAAATTTTCAAGGCCTTTTTTTTTAAAAACCTATTTCATGGTTTGCGTTCTACACACAGAAATATTGTTCTGATGCTAAACGGAAGGTCAGAATATGATGCATCTTAAAGTCTCATTATCATTTTCTTTTAAGTGTTGATGTCTTTCAAATCCACAGGACAGCAGTGTGATTGAGCAGAGAGGGAGCAAAGACAACTACAAGCACAGCTCTGTCACTCATTGATTTAAAAACTGTATAATAAAGAAAATAGAACACAAAGAGAACAATTTTAATATGTTATGAAGTCTATTGTTATTGTGAGCCCGTTCAAAAGAACCTGGGCCTAAGACTTTTCCTTACCTGTGATGCTCTTAATTGATTACTATTGCATTATGGGACCTTGTGTTTAATGAGAAGACTGCCATCATGTCTGGTACATCTCTAAGTCCCCGTGTTAGGCAGCAGAGGTCCCCTCTGACTCATATCCACAGTGATCAGATGCCTGTCTCACAGTCCTGTATGTCTGTACTTCTTTAGGTTACCCTTGTTGGGTTTGGTTTTCATGAGACGTCTTAAAAAAAACTATCGTTAACAAGGTTTGTGGTTGGTAAGATTATTTTTCGAAATTTCTTATGCTCACCATGGCTGTATTTATTTATGGTAATCAAAAATACAGTAATATTGTGAAATTGTATTACAACTTAAAATGTACTGTTTTCTATTTGAATATATGTATAAAAAAAATAAAAAAGACTCCTGTGATGGTAAAGATGAATTTTCAGTCTTCAGTGTTAAATTATCCTTCAGAAATCTGCTAATATGCTGATGCTTTTCAAGAAACATTTCTTTTTATTATCAATGTTGGAAACAGTTGTGCTGATTAATATTTTTTGAGCAAACGGTGGAAACGTATGAGCTATTACTTTATTAATTACTTAACCAACAGCAAACAATAGAACAATACAACTTTTTGTACAAATTTGTATAATTTTTTTTTGTATTTTAAATCCCATGTGATCCTATGAACAGAAAACTTGTTTATATGATTATTCAGCAATTAAAAGGAGACTAATTTATCTGACAAATAATTTTTATGAGACCATTTGAACAAAACAAATGTGGATATTTTAGATATTACTTTGAAGAACAGAAAAAAGGACAAAAACGCAAAAATATCTCACTCTTAGAACAAAGGTTCGTGACTCAATCCTATAGAACCGGCAAAAAGGTCTTACATGATTGCATAAAACTTTCATGTTTAACGGTTTGTTTAATTCATAAAATTGAATCAAAATCAAAAGGGAATTCAAACAAAACTGGGAAGCCCTAAAAAGTTCTATATATGAAACTCTTTAAGATTCTATAAACATTTTCTTTTAAGAGTAAAAGTAAAAATTAGGTGCTAAAATTATGAACATTATGTGAAAATATTCATAGAGTCAAGCAAAAGAACAAAAAGTGAGTGTATTTGTCATGTATAATAATTATGCAATTATTATTGCGTAAAGGGATGCATATTCATGCAGTATTTTTTGATTGATAGAAGTTTGTGACCTATGACAGTTTTGAAAGGCTAACAGGTTGTATTGTTTAGAAAGCAGAAGTTTAAAATGCATTTGCTATGGAGTATTAAATCCTGTTTAAAATTAAGACGGATCAATTGTGCCCTGAGTTAAAATAGTGGGCAGAGTTGGATTCTCAGAGGACCGTCAGCAGACTGTAAACATCATTGCTGTCACTGGCGACGGACGGTTGAGTGAGGATGGTGACATACAAATGATTCAGTTCAACCTGGAGGAAAAGTGAGTCTTAAAATGAGGATAAATAATTGCATACACATGTGCATCTGATTTACTCACCTCGGTTTGCTTTGATTCTTCACTGTTTCCTGCTTAACAAAACACATCAGATATCAAATAATGACCATGATAGTGTATAATTAAAATGGTGAGATGCAACATTTTTATTATTATTATTTGGTAGCACTTTATTTCAATAGTCCACTTTAGACATTCTAGCTATAACTACATGTCAACTAACTCTCATTAGAGTCTGTCTGCTTAATATCTACCGCAAGTAACTTTGCAAGTACATGTCAACTTATTCAACTAAAAGTCTAATACTCTAATGAAAGTTAGTTCACATGGTTGCAAAGTTACTTATAGTTAGTAGAACTTGAATGTCTAAAGTGGACCATCGAAATAAAGTGTAACCTAATATTTGTGTCAATTGTAGCAAAAAAATATTTGGGAGCTTGACAAGCATTCATGTTGAACACATTTTATATCAGAACAAGTGCAGATCAGAAGGTGTTATTGTACAATAAAGTAAGCATCATGAATATTATCCAGTTGAAATAGTTTGGAAATGTTCATGATTCTGGTTGGAGCTTATATTTATTAAGCAAATAATATGAAAACACAGTGCCAGCTAAAGCAAAGGCTAGCAAATCACTATAACCGGTTTGCTATGATTTATGTAAGTAGCCTATAATGAATCAAAATGCTATTTACATCAAATAATACGCAAAATACAATATATAATATGGAGGTGATTCATTTTACTCTTTACCTGGTGGTTGAGAGGTGGATTCTACGGAGTGGATGGTTGAGTATAATGCGGTATCTTCCTCACCAGACTAAATAACAAAGATTGATCTATTAAATAATGTCAAATATTAAAATGATCCCATAAATGGTTGTTAATGATAGTAACACTTACTGAGTCTGAACCGGCGATTGGTAAAGAAACTCCTACAAAACAGATGAAGATTTCAGCAAACCTTGACATTAAACTGTATTTGACTTTTATTTGGATTATGGCTTACGTTTTGAGGAGAAAAGTAAAAACTTACCCTGCTTTTTACCTTTTTTTTCAATCCAAATCCTAGTAAATTTTACAAATATATTTTGTGCACCCTTACTTTCTTATAATTTCACAAATGATTTCATACATGCACAAAATAAACTCAGAAACATCTCTACCTCTCGTCCTTTGGCCTTCCTGCGATGAAGGAAACATCAAATCAAAGTGTCTACTTGACTAACTTTTTCATAATATCTATAAGCCACATTAAAGACATGGCAAACTTTTTTTTACACTTACGTGTACATCCGTATAAACAGATGCCCATGAGTCCAGTCAGTACAATTCCTCCAGCAGTTGCAACCACAGCAATAGAGAAAAACATTTCTGTGTCAGACAAAAATATAAAAGATTAGCAAGTAATACACTGTTGCATTACTGTATTAAGCGTAAAAAAAAATTATGCTGCCATTGGGTTTCTAATGAATGTGCTTCTTCATGGAAAAATTAGTAAAGTTACTTACTTTTATTTGAGTACTTTTTGTTTTCAAGGCCTTCAACCATCAAGAAGAAATTTATAAAGGAGAAATTGACCATTAGCATATGTGTATTGTATTCAATGTTTATATAACATAGTCAACCCTATACATATCAAAATGGACATTTGAGCTATTTCCCAGTAATTTTCCCATAGTATTTAGTAATTTCCCAGCCAACAAGGAACGTTCTTATAGAACTTTGACTATAACGTTCTGGCAAGGTTCTCTCAAAGAACTTATGATCAAACATTTGTCCAGTAACGTTAATAGAATGTTTGTTCAAATTTATCTGGTCTTTAATAATGTTCTCAAAACATTAGCACAAAAAATACATCACTTATAAATTACATCATTCATGGAGCATTTTTTCCCCCTGAAATGTTTTAGTTGGATGGTCTTCTAATGTTTTTTAGATATTACTAGTTGTTTCAGAATGTTGTTTCAAACAATGCTTGAAGATTCAATGGAATTCCTTAATGTTCGCAAAACCATGAAAAAACATACAGAAAACGGGATCCAAGATCCGGTTACCTGACGCAGGTTCTGTAGTTTCAGCAAGTGTAGTCGATTCCAGGGATGCTGAAGATTTGTAAATAAATCAATCAAATGTGTTTTGGTTACTGTAATATTACACATTAAAAGAGAAGACCTGAGGACTTACCATTTGCGGGATCTGTTAAACTGCTGTCATGGGTAGTTAGACTGGACATATCTGTAGTAACAAGACAAATGTAGATGAGTAGAATTAAAGCCAACCAATCAAAATCTTTGATAAATAATTATGAGAAAGAAAGAAGCACCTACTGGTTATCGGATCTGTTGTGATTTCAGCACTGGTTGTTACAACCAATGCTATTGAAACCACAGAACAAGTTAAACATTATTAAGACGAAAAAGAGTTATGTCGGTTTTAAGGATTGTACAATCAAGGCAACTCACATGTTGTGTCCGTTGTCGATGCGGTCGACAAATTTGCTGAAATTAATGTTTATATATGAAATCGCAATGATCAGTTTAGAAAGTGTTAGAATAAGAAAGACTTTAAAAAGCCTTTAAAAACATTATTTTAGCATTTAGTCTATTGTAGGTGTATGAATATGAATTATTACAAGTTAAATCAGCTATTAAATTCAATAAAAAATTCCACCTTCAGAGGTTCCACTGGAGATCAATGTTGGGCTGTCATGGACTGTGATCGGTGACAAAGACGTGGCAGCTAAACCTTATGAGATTAAACAAACAACAAATTTAAGGCAACCAGGTAAGTAACTTACTTTGTTTAAAATATATATATTGTTATAAATATTGTTAGTGTATTCACTCTTGAATATGATTAAGACAAGTAAAGGTTTATATAAAAATGTAAAGTCAACTGTAGAGTTCAAAAAAATATATACTTCATAAAAAATTGTGCAAGGGGGAAAATTAACGGAAATCGGTATTAATATATGTATTCTTACAGGGAACAATAAGTCTATATGCCATTGTACTCCTAAAAGGTCAGATAATTATCTGTTAGCAGATATATATATTCAATTTTACAGTCTTTCTCTTCCATCTTGACTGTCAAGGGTGTATACATGTTTTTGTACAATGCAAATACAAGGTTCACGACAATGACTTCAACTAAAGCCTATTGGCTGTTTAAAAAAGGGGGAGGTGACAACTTCCTCTATGCCCCACCCAACTTCCTGTTTCAGTTGGAAATACGTCAACACAGGAATCAAAAGGGTTTAATGGGGTTTTTAACTGGAGTAAAGCAACTGAAATGCTCCTTAAGTGTTTTCTTTTGGGACCCGAATACGAATTATTACAAGTTAAATCAGAAAAGCTGGAAATTCAATTAAAAATTCCACCTTCAGAGTTTCCATTGGAGATCAGTGTAGTTGGGCTGTCCTCTGTGATCGGTGACAAAGATGACATGGCAGCCAAACCTTATGAGATAAAAAAACATCTGCTTGGAAAAAAAATAAACTACATTATCTATCTTTCTATTAAAAATAGACTGTGATTAAACAGCTTACCTCTGACCTTTACTGAGACTTTGTCAGAATGAGGTGAGGTTGCGTTTTCTCCTAAGCCATACACAGTATAGTAGCAGGATATGTTGACATGTGAACTCTCTGGATCTTGTGACCACGTGATCAGTTCGATGCTGGTAAGGGTGATGTTACACAATGCACTTGGTTTTATATAGTTCTCCTGGCCTGCAGGATAGAACATGCATTCAGAGACATGCTGACTCTCATGACCTCCACAGAACATCTGCACCTTTTCTCCATAGGTGGCAAATGTTGGAAATATTGTCAGGTTGGCCTGCGGCAAACCTATAAAAAAAAGATGAGATACGTAAATTCACCTTTGCAATAAAATATCACAATTAATTATTAATTCAAACTTCTTTAAATTCATTTTAAATTTAAATAATTAATTTAAAAAAAACATATAAATTGTCTGTGCATGTGTCAATACCATTAATTTAATATACATGTCCAATATATAACTGGACAGGCCAGTTTTTATTAAACTACACTGTAAAAAATATTATTTTCATGATTTCTTGTCACAACTTTTTATCATTTGTCAAATCAACTTAGGTCATTAATGTGGTTCAGATAACATAATATTTTGAGTTTCTATTTGTTAAACTAATCTCCATTGAATTAACAAAATTTTTTAATTTCAATGAACTCAAAAATGTATGTTTTTTTGTTTGTTTTTACAATGTATTGACTCTTGAATATGATTAAGACAAGTATGCAATGTATGCAAAGTCAAGTGTAGAGTTAAAAAATGTATATACTTCATAATACAAATTGTGCAAGGGGGAAAATGAACGGAAATCATGCATTCACAGCTTACAGGGAACATTCTCAGAATTTTTATTTAGACATTCGTAACGTGTTTTAAATGTTAAACTTTATGCTATGTTATTTGTTTCAGAAAGTACAAAGAACTTTCAAAAGTAACATTCTCATAATATTTGCAAAATGATAAAATGAAATTTCAAAATAATGAGAAAAAAAACGGTTTCGAACATTTAAAAATACTGAACATTTTGAATATTTAGAGAATATTTTCATAACTTAAAAGGAACATTAGCAAACATGATCATATTTTTGTTAGCTGGGTTAATATCATTGTAAAGCATGAGAGATCACTTACCCTGTGATTTAACCTGCAGTAAAAGCTGAAAGGTAATTAAGATGAACAGGGCCATTTCACTATGACACTGTGAACAAACTTTCCTTTAAAAGTGAACAAAGACGCTACTCAGAAAGTGTCTGAGAGGGAAGTAGGAAATGATACTTACCTCAAAATGGGTGAAATGTCTGTTCAACCTGACATTTCTGTAAAAGAATTCTGCGCTTTATAAAATTATATTTAACCAATGCATTAGTCTCAGAATGACATCAAAATGGACAAAAGGATCACAGAAGTAAGAAAATAGTAAAAATCAAACTGCAAAAACAGTTATTTCAAATGGGTGATGATGAAGACATTAAAAAAGGAAGTTTACAAGGTCACTTTCACTTTATAAGTGTTTGTTATCACCGTTGTTCTACAGAAGTGGAAAACCAGAAGTACAATGGTACTTAAAGTTAGATTATGAATCATGCTAAGATTTAATGTTACCTTTGACAATGTCAAATTAGTCTATTCTAGTAGAACTTTGAATCATCAGGCCTAGTCTAAATTAAAAAGCAAGTTTTGCATTCAAAGTCTGATAATATGAAATGCTGCTGGGGGGGGGGGGGGGGGGGGGGGCATTCCAAAATGATTTTTATATTTCAGAAACACTTTTTTTGTTGTTGTTGCACATAAGGGAGACTTTAGTGAGCGTGTGTTGAACAATGTTGAGGAAAGTAATGCGTTACAATATTGTGTTAGTCCCTAAAAAAGTAACTAATTATGTTATTTGGTTACTTTTTATGGAAATTCAAATATGAATGTGTAAATTTATAAAGCAATGTGTTACTTTACTCGTTTCATCAAAAGTAATCTGATTATGCATGTTAGTTGTTATCCCAACACTGGTGCTGAATAAGAATCATTGTATAAAACCTGTGCAGACATGGTCTACACAGCTCAAAATGTCTACCGTGATGTCAGCAAGGGATGCTTTTGTCCCTTTAAAATAAAAAAATAAAAAATGTCATCAATAAAACCCTGCAAATATTGGCCACCAGCATATTTAGCATTCTGTTTTAGCTGATATTTACACATCCCATCATTCATTTTATTGACACGTTGACCAAACAAGACCAAACAATTTAGGCGTGTTGTGCGAGTGGGTCACCGATGACGTTTGCACCTGCTTGTGTCAGAGAGATACCACAGGAACAATGCAGGGCCGTTAATTTAAAGCGTTTACAGACGCTCTTTAATGGGGTCAGTGTAACAACAACACACACCCATCGCTGTGGCCTTCAAGGCCTGAAAAGAATCCACTGCCTGGCTTCAGAGAACAAAATGGAGGTCACCTTAATGTCAGATATTAAACATCTAGGGCCTGTTTGAACAGGGGGTTTGGTGATTATATAAATCGGTCAAACGGAGAAAAGGAAATTCTTCTTTGAGCAAAGAGGATCTGCTCTGAAAGGTTGCTAGGAGTAACAAAAGTAACAGACGCAGTTTGAAATGGAAGCGCTTGCCAAACTTTCCCTCTCTTTTGTAAACAGTCACAAGGAGAATCTGAAACACTTGGTCGCATTAAAATTGCTTTTTAATGATTGAAACGGTCTATTTACAGTTTTAATGGCATCTAAACTCTCCATCAGCCTTTAGAGACTTAACATACAGACAACATAATATTTAGAACTAAAATATTAGAACGTGACAATTGAATATGCATGAAATAATAGCTTCTAATTTATAAAATGTTTGTTTTTAATTTGGCGATAACATTTGAAATGTATAAATATTCAGGGTGATCAATATTCAAACCAGCATGGATGATGACCTTTGAACCTTTCTCATAATTCCATATGTCATTGTATTTTATGTTAATATGAACACAAATGAAATGTCCTATTATCTTCTATAGCAGTGGACAAATGCATAACTCTCTCAAAACACTTTATTTTTTAAAAAGATTGGGAATGATTATATTGTTGTTTTGGGGGAATTGAGATTATATTTTCCTTGGGATGAAATCATTTGTGCATCAGATTGTTAAAAAATTGCTACTTTGTAGTTCCTCCAATAATATTTACTAGTCACATTTTATTTTTGTAAACTGTAATTATGTACTAGTTCTGGCTAAAAAGTTTTTTTTGAATGTACTTTACAGCAGCTATCTTGCACATCACATTCGCAAACACCTTTTGTGTCAGTGAAAATGCAAGATTTGGTCTAAAAAAAACAGTTCAGAAAAAGGTATTAGGCTTTTTTTTTTGGCATAACCTTGAATCTACAGTCTTCATATGTGATCCAATAGTTTTATAAGTCACTACTGCACATGTTCAGGAAACAGATTGGTCCAAAAAAAGTAACTTATTCAAATTATTTTCATCTGCAGGAGAGGATAGTGACCAATAACTCCGGGAAAAAAATGCAGCTATAATAATGCTCTCTGTAGATTAATGTGCATTTTATTGGAAAATTTTAATAATAGATTTTTTTTCCAGTCATTTGAAGCTGGATTGCCCTAGTGTTAGCTGTATCCCACTGAAGTAATATAGAGTGGAATTATTTTCTTTTTCACTTTGCGAAACCGACTACTAACTAGAAATTTAATTTCATGTTGTTTTTCACAGATCTAGTATGAATTACGTATTTTTTGAAAACAAAAAATATCAGTGGGACAAAAAATCCAGCACCCGGCAATTCTTCATTAATAAAAACAGTAAAAACTGACAAAGCAGCACTTCTACTGTTATACCACTACTGCCCTCTGTATCTCCATTATGAGTCTTTTATGGAGCTAGGCTACATCAGATGAGTGTATTTACACAGCCACCGTGGTGGTAGAAGACACGGGTGTTGCGGCTCCTTCCGGTGTAACCTTAGCCAATCGGTGGTCCTTGTTTTGCGAGCAGCTCCGCCCACAGAGCTGGCAGGACGCGCAGCAGGGGTTGCAGCAGGGCAAGAATCGAAACACACTCACTCGCCACAGGAACCAGCCGGGAGCCCAACAGCACCAGCACATGAGAACCCCTCCTGCCGTCACACCCAGAACCACATACAGCGCCAGCAGAGACATGGAAGCCTGGGAATCTGGAGAAGAAAGGATTTCATTATTGGACTAGGAACTACAATTCCCTGTGAGATTTCAACGAATTCAGTACAAACACTCGCACTCACTACATATTCTTGAAACTGCCATCTATGGCATCAATTATTAAACAGACAATAACTTTTAAAATAAAGCAATAAACCATGATACGGTGTGTATTATACAGATGAAACTCAAAAATTAGAATATCGCGCAAAAGTTCATTTATTTCAGTAATTCAACTTAAAAGGTGAAACTAATATATTATATAGACTCATTACATGCAAAGTGAGATATTTCAAGCCTTTATTTGTTATATTTGTGATGATTATGGCTTACAGCTATGAAAACCTTTTCACAATATTCTAATTTTGACTTTGGGATTTTCATAAGCTGTAAGCCATAATCATCAAATTTATAACAAATAAAGGCTTGAAATATCTCATTTTGCATGTAATGAGTCTATATAATATATTAGTTTCACCTATTAAGTTGAATTACTGAAATAAGTGAACTTATTTCACGATATTCTAATTTTTCGAGTTTCACCTGTCCTGACTTTAACACGATTAAGTCAGCAGCAATAGCAATATTATAAAAGAAAATCGTTTCATTTGTTTAATAATAGTTATTAGAATATATAATTGTTCCACCAAGGAATATAGTTCATTAGCCTAGCCTTATAATGATATTAAAAAATACATAAATAAAAATAAAATAATATATACGTATCTGCATTTTATGCCTTATCCAATCAGACCAAGCCTACAGTTAAATAATTATATTGAGTTAACTGAAATATTCAAACCCAAAATTAACTCATTTAATTATTTTTTTAAATATTTGCGTATCATTTTACTTGCCTATCAACACTCTTAACAGTGTTATTTTATTAGTTATATACTATTACAGTACTTATTACATATTATATATAATTAATATTTATATATTTTTAATTTTAGTTTTGTTAATGTTAGTATTTCATCAAAAGTGCATTGTTTGAACACCTGTGGATCGGATGTGGAGGTAAATGACATGTTCAAATGCACAAATGTGAGTAGTGGCTACTTAGCAGACTAGTGCTCTTGAAAAGTTACAACGAGCAGTTGATTTACAGCTCACTGTTTGCAATGAACATTTATGTGCTCCTCAATTAGCTTTGTGTCCTTAGCCTTTCAGAGTTCACCATGGCAATAAAACTAAATTTATGGACACTCAAAAAGAGCCACAGTTCTGAGGAGTAGTCATTATATTTGAGTTATTGTGCATCAAATCATCTTCTTCACCCACAGATGTTTCATCTATCTTACTAAACAAATTTTTAAGGTCTAAAAATGCACTTAAAACAGGATGGTGGATATTGTACGTTAAACCTACACCCATGTAAACCTGATTTATTGAACATTGCTGCAGCTCAAACATACAGTTTGGTTTTGTCAGTTTGGCCTTCTACAATTAACCATACAGCATTCTGGGAAGCCTGTAAAACAAGTTTGTAGAGTTTAATTTTAAACAGTTCTACAAGACGGTCAAGAAACAACTGACTTATCTTAAAGGAAAAGATCATTCAGACATTAAAATGCTGTCATTTATGCACATTTATGCACAATGCCATTACAAAATTGTATAAATGTCTTTCTTTCTAACACAACAGAAGATGTTGCACTTCTACATGTAGGAAAAAAAGACATTTAAGGTGTCATTTGCTGAAAATCCTCCTTTCACCATATAATTTTCAGTTCAAATACACTGCACTAAGACGTGTCTCAGCAGCAGATTTGATGCTTTAATATTTTTATGTTAAATCTGGAGTGATGCATCTTTATGTCACATTTGAATCGATTGCAAGTGAGATTTGAGGACCAATTTCAACAAATTATAACTTAAATTTCAACTTTTGATCACACAAAGCTATCATATGAATTCAGAGGACTTACGTAGACTCAATATAGACGTATTGATTCGTTTTATGGTGCTTTGTGACACTTTTTGAGCTTGATTGAAAAGAGCCTTGGTTGGCATTATTGTGAGAGAATTTTTGTCCGTTTCTGTTTGATTGCATGTTTTTTTTATTGCTTTTCAGAACCACTGGAGAGCTTACCAGTCACAGAATCCAGACCAGGAATTGCGTTTGGAGTGGCACAGTTCTTTAAAGTGGACACTGTCAGAGTAGGCAAGACGTTCAGCATCTGTGCTGGTTGGGTAACATGGTGCTGCGGGGGCTTGGGTGTAGATAGAGGACCTGAAACACACAAAAACAAGAACAAAACCTATCAGGAACAAATCTCAAATCTTTAAATTCTTAAAATAAACTCTTTACTGACCATTGCAATCAGGATAATCGATTAAGTCACTGCCATCGCCACAGTTGTCAATGCCTTTATCATCTGCACAAACCAGACTCATGGGAATACACTTCCCGTTCCGACAGTTGAAGTAAGGTTGCCCGCTGCACTCTGATTGGTTAAAACCTGGAAAGACCAACAATAAGATGAGCAGCCGGTTTCTATAGACTTCAAGAAAAAAGTTAAACCGACTAAGAAGTAGTGATGGGCCTTTTCGAAACTTTGCTTCGTGAAGCTTCAAAACCTTTTGTTTCGAACCAGTGATTCAGAGTGAATATATATTTAGCAAAGTCACGTGATTTCAGTAAACAAGGCTTTGTTACATCATAACTGTTTCAAAACGTTTCAAAATTTAAATTGTTCACCGCTACGGGCAGATCTCTGTGAAATCATTGCAGAGTCTATTTGGTTTTAAATCTGGAAATTACACATTTGTATAATTCTTTCTGAGCTGATTAACCAAGCTCTCCATAAAATCAAACAAAACAAGCCCTACAATGTAATAAGATAACATATCATACAGACATTTAATATTTAATCAATGGTAAGATTTGTTAACTGCATTTAATTGATTACACATTCAATCAAATATTTGTAATTGGTTTGTAAAAGGTGTTTTTATGCACTGGTCTGACCAGCAGTCGTTACCAGTGTGGCGTTTTAAGCCCTTTGGAAAAGCTAATCATTTTGCCAATCAATTGGTTCAAATTATTCAAAGCTTTGTTTTTCCCATCACTACTGAAAAGTGGATGTAAACACATTCTAACCCAGCCTGAATGAAGTGAAGTCTCCAACAAAGTCCACCCTTGGCTGAGTTCCTCGCGTCACAAGACGTAGAGTTAGAAATCTGCCCGTTGACAACACTGGTCGAGGAGGGCTCTTCCCACAGAGTGGCGGGCCAATTGGGGGTGCGGACTTATCCCGCCCATCGTAGAACTGGATGTAAGAGCCAGCATGGCAGGGGTCTTCTGGCCCCTCCCTGGTAGTTGGCTCCAAGCTCATGTCAGGCCGCGTCGGGCCAGATGAAGAGGACCCCCTGGGTGATTCCGGGAAGAGGGGTGGGGGGCTGTGCGGTGACACTCTTAGCAGGCTGTAGACCAGGAAGAAGCGGAAGTAGAACTGCACCTTGTCCCGGGGAGTGGCGGACTGCATGGTGAGGTGGCAGTCCGTTCCCATGGAGACAAAGTAGTACCTCCGGGACTCCTGGTGGGACTTTACGATCATACCGTCCCCCTGTATCGTCTGTCCACAGAAGTCCACCACATTCACTGTTGGGAATATTTACATTCAGGGTCTTTGAGAAACTGAGATGTGCATGGGGCTCCAAAACAAATTTTGTTTCAGTTAATTGTTACCCATGTCAGCTTTATTTGGATGAATTCAGGTTGATTGGGACACTTTTTCCCAGTCATCTCAATGGCAAAAAGTGTCCTAATTAACCTGAATTCACCCTATATGGCGTTTAATATAAAATACAAATTGTTTCATAGCAGCTTAACAGTACTAAACAGGAAAATAACAGAATCAATGATGCAAATTCTGCTGTAAAGCAGCTCTAAAAAAAGACAATAGTGTCATTATTCAGTTCAGTTTAATAACTGTGTAAAGTTCATCAATTATGAAACACATTCAATTTAGCTATAAGCAGCTCTACAGAAGGCAACAGAGTCACGAACAACATTCCAGTTTGAAAATGTTATCTATATCCCTCAACCCTAAACCTAACCCTGCCCCTAAGTTATCCCTAAAATCAGAAGGGAAACGATAGGTCAATAACACTGATGTAGAAGCACCAAACCCTGGTTGTAGGCCTAAACTGGACATAATAAACTTGTCCCTCAAATCTGATTGGTTGATTGGAATGTTGTTCCAGGATCAACAAAGATGTTGATCCAGGAGCATGTTGCACTTGGTGAAATCGGGCTCTGAAGTCAGTTCAGTGTTAATGTTGCAAAGTGTTCCCATCCGATAGTGTCGGTGCAGTCAAATCAATAATGTTCCTGAATATTAAATCAAATGCCTTTTAATCCCTAACTAAGCAGGCGACAGTAGCAAGGAACCCAAACCCCATGTTGTGTAGAATGAAATAAAGAACACAGGGATGGAAGGGAAACAGAACAAATCCAGTTCTAATCTAGAAAGACCACAAGCATGAACTGGCTTTGCATCCCCCCATCTGAGGTACGATACGAACCAAATAATAGGAAGATTTACAACCTCTCCTTGGTTTATTAGCTTTGTTACCAAGGGCAACAAGTGGATCCGTGATGTCTCACTGCCAGGAATGTCCAGAGAAACCTTCAATTGGTGGAAAAGGACCAATACCTCAAAATATTCCGTAACCATGTATCCTAAACTGAGTTTCCACAAAAATGAGCAGCAGCAGAACAGTAAGTTCCCTATAAAAGTTTTAATTGGCCAGACCAAAGCGCTCTGAGCTCCAATCACACCCGAGTTCCCATTGTAATTCCCAACTCTAGAAAAACAGCAGAGAGCGTGCCAACTCTGTGGGTAATGACACAGATGCCACGGGCTATTCACAGGACCAGATGAGGAGGTGTTATATTAATGTTTGGTGTCAGATCAAATAAATCATCCCTATGTATTGTCTTATAATGAAAGTCAATAGATTATTTTTAAAAATTAAATTAAAAAGTTATGGCAATATAATATATAGTATTTTATTTTAATTCAATTTTAAAGTAGGCTATTTTAATATTTTTATTCTCTCTACTTTAATACAGTAAAGGATTTTGGAATGACATAGATGAGTAAACTTAAAAAAAAGATTAAAAAATACGGTAACACTTCTACAGCATTTATTAATCTTAGTTAATGTTAATTTCAACATCCATTTAACTAATACATTAATAAACTCAACTGTTGTATGTTAACATTTGTTAATGCACTAGCTGTGAACTAACATGAACATTAACATTTTTATTAACTAATATTAACAAAGATTAATCAATGTAACAAATGTATTGCTCATTGTTAGTTAATGTTAGTTTTAATGTGTACAAATGAGACTTTTATGTTTAAAGTGTTACCAAAAATACAAATCGTTATATTGTTTCAAATATTTAATTTTAAAAGTTTGAACTGCAAAAACTTATTGAATGAAAATAAAACAGCGAGGTAAACGATTAAAAGTATTTTTTAATCTACTTTCATTTAACTTCATTAGATTACAGTTGTGGTAAGACAAATTAGGCTACATGGGACAAGCCAAATGTCTGTGAAAGCCATTGCAACTCCAGCTAGTTCTATTGCCAACACACACAAATGAATTAAGAATACGAGAAGAACCCCAAATGCAGCAAGTGTCTCAGACGAGGTAATAACGGGATAAATCTTGAGAAGTGAACACCCATCACCCTACCTGTCTCAATGGAGAGACTCTGGCGTGTCATTAAGCTGAACAGAACAAACCATCCTGACAGGTGCTGAATGCATCGCACTGCGGCCATCTCGGGTGTCCAAGCAAAGACACTGGCTCCTCCAATGTTAAACGCAATTGTTCTGTCGCATTTGTATCGCGCAAAGTCTACTCTTGCGAAAACCAAACATTCCCCTAATTTATAAAGCCGACATATAGCCTGTGAAACACCCCCAGAAGTGTCTTGCTTTTAAAGCGGGAATATTTGTCTACGGCGTCTCAGATGCGTCGAGCTTAATCCTTGTTCATCATCCCGGCTTTTGTGTCTTTGAAGCCTCTTTGTCAAATTTATGCGTCTGAACTATATCCATGACAACAGGTCCAATGTCACGGATCTAAAGGAGGAGCCGTGCAGTACCCCCTCAAAGTTGCCCCCACACAAGCACCATCTAGTGCTGAAGAAGACAGGGGTGAACATCTGTCACACTGATTACATTTGGACATACACAGTTGCAAAAGTGTTTGTAGAGCACTAAAAGGGAACTGTTGGAGTTTTATAAATACAGGTGTACTTTTATACTACTAAAGTATATAGCCTAGTCAAAATATTCACTCTGCATTGTTCTCAATTGACATTACAACTATTAACACAAATGGAAGTAAGTAAATATGCCAGCTCTCAATGAAAGCAACATGGGATGTTTTTTATAAAAGTATAAAAGGAGTTTATTTATTCTGTAGGACTCAAAATTCCTCTTCAACAGTAGGCCTATATGTTATAAACACACACACACACACACACACACACACACAACATCCAGACATTATTCCACAATTTGGCATAAATACCTTCTCTCTACACTACATTTATGATGACTTTCTTGTGACAGAAACCACTATGGCCTATCTCCTCTTAAACCTTTTGGGTCTTTAACAGAGTGGAATAGAGCTTCTTGTTAAAAGTTTCATTGGACTTTTCCCCCCTTTGAGTGTGTGAATATATATATTTTTTTACAGTCTATGGTGTGAATGTGTCTCATGATCTACCATGGGAATCTATACAGGCACAATTCCCACAAGACAAAGCAAAAACACACACATGCAAAAAAAAAAAAAAAAATTATTTATATATATCATATATTTATTTTTCTTACCCAGTTTCTGCTAAACAATTTGATTTAGTTAAAAATGACATCTATTTATCTTTTCACAACAATCATTATAGAAAGGACATGCACATAAACCTGTTTGGTGGCCTATAGTGCAATATGTGGAGCACTTCAGCATTATGTCGTCAAGGCGAATGAGGCATTTATGGACTTTTAAATGTCACCTGGCTCATAAACAGCATATTATTCAAAGCTTTAAATATTTAGTTTTGAATTACAACAATTTAATGTGCTGTATGTATCTGAGCAACGATAAAGTTGAAGAAAACATGTGCAACACCCAAACATTGAGCGAGCTGTGCGCGCCAACGGATTTACGTCAGACGCCGCAAGTACGTCACGCGTAAGTACGTACGTCTCATAGAAGTTTGAAACTGACGAAGGGACAAAAATATTTATATAAAAGCTGACGCAAGGGCGCTAAATACAAACTTACAATCAATAAAGTGTGATTTAAAATTCCTATATTTATGAAAGCATCTTCACAGTCAAGAATCTCCTGCTAAATTTACGCCAGGTGCATTTATTTAATGAAAATAAGTCAGAGCTAGCTGCTAGCATGCTAACTGCGCAGCTTTAGCCGCCTCGATGAAAACATTCAATATTATTGTGTTTGCTAAAGATTTATAAAATCAACACAGTTGTGTCGAGCCCGTAAAACGCCGTATTTATTTTTGACGGTATGTTTTATTCTAAACTGTGAATTATGTTGATGGGATAGTCTAAAATGTGTGTGCTAATTTGGACTCAGTGGTGTTTCTTGGATATTATTGTCTGTACTTGCCAATTATTTGCTTGTTTTCATAAATGAGCTGTCATTAGAGTGTTTATCTGATGTATGGGGTAAAATCAAAAGTGTTGTGCATGCTGGACCAATGATGCAAGGCCTGTGCATCACAGATGTGTGTAACTGTCAAGTGAGTGTGGTGTGATTTTTGATGTTTGTGTTTCTTTTTTATGTATATGTTTTTGGCAGTGTATTTTGTACATCATTTCCATATAACTCTGTAAAAGTTTGTACGCAAAAGGTTGTATTTTTTCTGTCTGCAAGGGCGTCTGTACATGTCTGTTCAGCTCTATGTTGTGATTTTTGTGTGCTGAATTTGTATGTCAGTTTCACAGTTTGTATTTCTTTGTGCAGAATGGCTCCTCGGTTGCAGCTGGAAAAAGCTGCGTGGCGGTGGGCAGAGACAGTCAAACCAGAGGACATCACACATGAACATATCGAGTTAGCTTATAGGATTGCAGTGCTGGCTTGCAAAAGAGGGGCATGCAGGTAATATGGTGGTGATAATGTTCTGTTTACTTTCTCTCTGTTTATTTATTTCAGAATGGCATTTAAAAGGGACAGTTGTAATGGAACAACTGTGAAAAGGAGTTTTTATTTCTGCACGTTGTTGTAATTACATCACTTTCCCACCTTGAACATTTTTCCTGTCACACAGGAGGAACTGTAAAGGGAATCCTAATTGTCTTGTCGGTATTGGGGAACAATCATGGTTAGGAGAAATTGATGAAAATACCTTCCACAACATCGATGACCCAAACTCAGAAAGACGAGATAAGGTATGCAAAATGACTGATTATTTCAATGACTGAAAATGAATTGAAAAATTAACAATAAATTATAGGGTTGTCAAATACGCTCAGGGCAAGTTTATTAACACTGATATGTCAACATCATCAACATTTATGTGATTGCTTTCTCTTCCAGAACACATTTGTGGGCCTGACGAATCTTGGCGCCACGTGTTACGTGAACACTTTCCTCCAGGTGTGGTTCCACAATCTGGAGCTCCGCAGAGCCTTATATCGATTTCAAAATTCACGAGCTGAAGGACACAACACGGATTCAGGTGAGCTTGAGGTTCTTTCTTTTAAAGGCATGATCCTTTTACTCCTTTACTTCTCATTAGGCAATCACGATGCCATTGTAGCATTGCAAGTATTGTACAGTTATTGCAGTGCAATTGCCATTTAGTAAATTGTTTTTAGTAATTGTACGGAGATTCACTCTGTAGCTACTTTGGAGCTAAGCATCAAGAGTACGATGCTGAAAGCATGACTTTTAGCATTAAATATGCATTAGAAGCATATTTATTGAAATGGACTTTTCTTATTTTGTGCACATTATTCTGCATACCAACAGATTATGAGCCACGGACGATATGCGAACATCTCCAGTATCTGTTTGCATTGCTACAGAACAGCAACAGACGGTATATCGACCCCTCAGGGCTGGTGAAGGCTCTTGGGCTCGATACAGGGCAACAGCAGGTGAGCAAGCATAAGATGGAGCATGTTGGAGTGTCCTGTGGCTCATGTGAAATCTCAAAAGCTACTTTTATTTTGTTTTTAGGATGCTCAGGAATTCTCTAAACTCTTCCTATCACTTCTTGAAGACACACTTTCAAAGCAGAAGGACCCTAATCTCCAAAATGTCATCCAACAGCAGTTCTGTGGGCAGTTCTCTTATGTTACTGTGTAAGTTATTCTTGTATTATCCATGTAACTGTAATTTTAGATTCTTGTCACTTGATATGTTTATAGTCACATATATAGTCACTTTGAGAGTGATGTGTACAATGTATGACATGTACAAGTCAATTATGTTATAATATTGTAATTAATTAGAGCTTGTTTTTGTGTTATGTCAGATGCAACAAATGTGGACGTGAGTCTCCTCTACCATCACGATTTTATGAACTGGAGTTGAACATTCAAGGACATAAAAACCTCACGGAGTGCGTTACAGAGTTTTTGAAGGTGACTGCTCACATTTCTTGTGCCTGACAGCTCCATATGTCTATGTAGATATTATATATTATATTATACTGTATTAAGGGTCTCAATGTGTGGTTTCTCACACTGTTTAGGAGGAGAAGCTGGAAGGTGATAATCGTTACTATTGCGAGAGCTGTCAGAGTAAACAGAACGCCACCCGTCGGATCAAGCTCCAGAGTCTTCCCCGCACACTCAACTTTCAACTCATGCGATTTGTTTTTGATAGGTGAGTATTGTAATATGTCATTATCAGATCTGTTACCTGATGTTTTATAGCCATTTTTAGTCATTTGTTTCTCATCTTTCTCTGCTTTTATAGGCAAAGTGGTCATAAGAAGAAACTTAACACCTTCATTAGTTTTCCAGAAGTTCTTGATATGGGGCCGTTTTTGGAAGGAAAAGGTATACTGTGCATTAATGTGCATTTAAGATGTACACTACAGTTCAAAAGTTTGAGCTCAGTAAGATTGTTTGTTTTTGAATGCTCACCGAGGCTGTATTTATTTGATCAAAAATACAGTAAAAAAGTAATATTGTGAAATAAGTTAAAACAACTGTTTGCTATTTTAATATATTAGAAAATGAAATTTACTCCTCTGATGCAAAGCTGAATTTTCAGCATCATTACTCTAGTCTTCAGTGCCACATGATCCTTCAGAAATCATTCTAATAATCTGATTTGGTGCTCAAGTAACATTTCTTATTATTATCAATGTTCAGAACAGTTCAGCTGCGTAATATTTTTGTGGAAACTGTGATAATTTTTTCCCCAGGATTATTTGATTAAATCTTTACTGTCACTTTTGATCATGAATGCATCCTTGCCGAATACAAGTATTAATTTCTTTAAAAACAATAAAAATCTTGACCGCAAACTCTGAATGATCACTATGTCATCTCAGAATCAGAGATAAGGAATAGGAATTTTATTCAATCAACATTACTTGATTCTTTTTTCTCCCTCCACCTCTAAATTCAGAAGAGAAATGCACGTATGAACTCAGCGCCGTGTTGATTCATCGTGGTGTGAGCGCATACTCTGGTCACTACATTGCTCACGTTAGAGATGCCCACACAAATGACTGGTACAAATTCAATGATGAGGAGATCGAGAAAATGGAGGGAAAGAAACTTCAGCTGGGCGTTGAAGAAGACATTGGTAACAACACATTTTGATTTTAGTTTGAATGAGGTCTTTTTTTGTGTAGCTACTTGTGTTTACAGTCCTGAAAAATAAGCATAATTTTTCTTATCCTTTACATTCCAGCCGAGACGGGCAAGTCTCAAACCCGAAAGCCAAAATGTAGCAAAGGCTATCACTGTTCGAGAAACGCATACATGTTAGTGTACCAACAGCAGACTGAAGAGATTGACCAAACAGAAACTAACGTTGAAGTACCAGGTAAAATGAACTCTA